GCTTAATGAGGTAACGAGTGTCAAGGTCTTAGGCCAACACCTGGCGTGCGTTTGTTTCCGTGTAAGCCGCGCAGCGCCCTGTCTGCTCTGATGGAGTGTGGGTGAGTGTTCCTTGCCACGCTTCCTTCCATTTCTGGTACCATTGGCCTTTCCCTTTGAGTTCCACTTGAGGCTGGGGTGTTGTATGGTCTGCCTGGTTTGCTGAAAGCTGAGGACAGGTGTTTACAGAGTCAGGGTAGGGAAAGGGCCTGGCTTGGAGACTTGACTCTGTCATTCCTTCTGAAACTTTGTTTGAGATTCTGTTATGGGGTTTACACCATTAGGGCAAAGATTTTCCTCATTGTATTAGTCCGTTTTCATGTTGCTGATAGAGACATACACGAGACTGAGAAGAAAAAGAGGTTTAATTTTACTTACAGTTCCACATGGCTGGGGAGGCCTCAGAATCATGGCAGGGGTGCGAAAAGCACTTCTTACATAGTGGAGACGAGGGAAAATGAGGAAGCAAAAATGGAAACCCCTGATAAACCCATCAGATCTCATGAGACCTATTCACTATCACGAGGCTAGCACGGGAAAGACCAGCCCCCATGATTCACCTCCCCCGGGTCCCTCCCACAACACGTGGGAATTCTGGGCGATGCAATTCAAGTTGAGATTTGGGTAGGGACACAACCAAACCATATCCCTAATCCTGTGGAATCCCTGGGTTTGGGGTGAACCCCCAGGCACTCAGCTTAGAGGCCTGGAAAGTGGACTTCCCGGGGGTGAGCCCCGGCTCCTGCCCAAGGCCTTGGGTGGTCAGCATGGATGTCTTTCTCTCACAGTTTTTCTGTCACTATTCTCTGAGCGCCTCCATCTCAGTATATTCCTGTCTGGGTTGATTTTCAGTGCTAGTGGATGTATTTATCTTCCTGTGATAGAGAGAAAGGAGTCAGCTTCCATTCTTAGCTGTCTCAGAATTTTCCATTTCTCTTCTTGGTCATCTCTTTCTAAAGTGGATGGCCTGGTTACACTCCTTTCTTCTTCTTTTTTTTTTTCTTTTTTTGAGACGAGTCTCATTCTGTCACCCAGGCTGGAGTGCAGTGGCACGATCTTGGCTCACTCCAACCTCCGCCTCCCACGTTGCGATTCTCCAGTCTTAGCCTCCCGAGTAGCTGGGGTTACAGGCACCCGCCACCACGCCCAGCTAATTTTTGTATTTTTACTAGATATGGGGGTTTCACCATGTTGATCAGGCTGGTCCCAAACTCCTAACCTCATGATCAGCCTGCCTAGGCCTCCCAAAGTGCCGGGATTACAGGCATCGGCCACTGTACCCAGCCTCTTCATTTTTTTAAAGAAATTTTCTGCTGTTAAAATTTTCCCTGGCTTTTGTTGTTGGGAAAGTGCAATTCTCTGGCTGGATTTTATTCTGCCATCTTGACCCAGAAACCTTGTGGTGAGCTTAAAAAAAAAAAAAAGAAAGAGTGAAAACAAAACAAAACAAAACATTCCTGGGCCCCACCCTGGACCTTCTGTTGCAGAGGGTCTGGAATAGGGCCGAGTATTTAATTTTTGAAACCTTCCTGTGGTTCTTCGAATCAGCCAGGTCTAAATCCACCATCCTTATAAAAGGATGTTTATTTTTTCTTTTGCCTTTTTAGTTAGACTACCTGAAAAACAAGTTGAGATTCTCTACCTGAAAACACATCAGATTTCTCAGAAAGACCCCATAAATTGAAAGATTTTTTAAAAGTGGCTTATTTGCTTGTTCGTGTTTTAAATAACATAATACAAATAGGGCAAAAAGTTTGTCCCAAGAGAACAGCAGTGGAAAGTTGGTCTTTTTTTGTAGTAGTACTTGAGAGAAATATCCTTAGAAATGAAGTTCACTTCTAGATCGCTTTAGCTTTTAGATTTATGCTGGTATTTATAGAGTGAATTATTCATTAGTGCTTTTAAGAAGCACTTTGAATGCCATATACGCCAGCATTGTCAAAGTGATTCCCATTTATCAGAACTCAATGGTCTTTACAGAATATCACCTGCAAGGGATCGAATTTAATCCTGTTTAGGCTTTGACCGATGAAAGAGAACTATAAAGAGTACTAGTTTTGCCAGTATCAGAAGATTCAGATTCACCTGAGGTGTCCTTCAATTAGATATACAATTTACATGATTTTTATGGCTGCTAAGGACTGGAAGGAAGCTAAAAAGAAAACGTGGATTTAACATTGTGAAATAATTTTTATATGAAGTGTGAATTTAGAAGCTGTATTTTCAATTTGTAAGTTACTGGTAACAGAAGAAATGATTAATATTTAAAATCACGCGGTAGTCTGGGCACGGTGGCTGATGCCTATGATTCCAGCACTTTGAGAGGCTGAGATGGGAGGATTGCTTGAGGCTAGGAGTTTGTGACCAGCCTCAGCAACATGACAAGGCTCTGTCTCTACAGACAAAAAATAATAAAAATGAGCTGGGCCTGGGGGTGTGCACCTGTGGTCCTAGCTACTTGGGAGGCTAAGGTGGGAGGATCCCTGGGGCCCAGGAGTTCGAGGCTGCAGTGAGCCATGATCGTTCTACTGCACTCCAGTCCAGGTGACAGAACAAGACCCTGTATCTCAAAAAAAAAAAAATTAAAATAAATAAAAATGAATTTTTAAATAAACCATGCACTAAAAGTATTTCACATGCAGCCACTAGGCTTTTCCGATACTCTGATCTCCCATATGTGCTACTCTCAATATAATTGGAAAATAACCCATTGATTACATAGTCATCTGTTTTGCACACACTTCCCTTTCATTCTTGATCCTTGTGGTGGTGTTTTTACTACATCTGTCTTTTAAGGAGTGGTTGTGATAATAAGCCAACTCAAAGACCTGTACTTTACTTTTGACATAAAATATTTATCTTTTTTGCATTGTTTTTTCTCCAAAGGACTTTCTTTAAGGAAATAATTGCTTTTTCATATTCTTTTGGCTCTAGAATTATTAAACACTGCTACGTATCTGCAGTATCAGCAGAGAAAGCATGTTATAGTTTATATGCTGAAGTATATGCCGACATGATCGCAGTCTTCAATTAAGTACATTTTTCTTTCATCAGTTAGTCTAATTATAATTTTTAAACTGTTATATACATGTTTCCGTTTTTTGAATAATTGCAACAGTTGATGTTCTACTGGATGTTATCTAGTCCCTCAGAATTTCAAAACAAGAAGGACAATAGAGGTCATGTCGTCCAACCCCTGCTGACGTACAGATTAGGAACAGGAAACACAGATTGGCTCATTTGCTGAGATCATGCTGTCCGGGCACATGGTCCCTTCATTCCCAGAGCAGTGCCCTTTGTACTAAAGCCAGGGGCCTTTCCCATCATCCAGTAGCATTTGTTACAGATGAAACCACATGTCATTTGGTATGCAAAAGTACCATGATCAAAACTGTAAATTTGTTATTATACATTTTTCTAGGCACATTTGTAGATTTGGGGGAAGTAGAAGAAATAGAAGTAAAATGTGAAATAATAAAGAGGAATAGCAATAGGGAATTAACAAGGAAGTGAACACTGAGATGCCGACACATGGAGAGTTCCTACTGTGGATTACTGCTCATGATGCTGTCGCTGTTTCTTGGCCAGGTGCAGTGGCACTTTGGGGGGCCAAGGCAGGCGGATCACCTGAGCTCAGGAGTTCGAGCCTAGCCTCGTCAATATGGTGAAACCCATGTTTGTAGCCCAGCTACAAAAATTAGCTGGGCGTGGTGGTGCATGCCTGTAATACCAGCTACTTGGGAGTCTAAGACCGGGGAATCACTTGAACCCAGGAGACGGAGGTTGCAGTGAGCCAAGATCACGTCACTGCACTCCAGCCTGGGCAACAGCACTACTCTGTCTCAAAGAAACAAGAAAACATGTTGTGGCTGTTTCTCTAACTATGGTCACCTAAAGTCAGGACCCAAGAGAAATTAGTCAGTAGAACCAGTGTTAGTGAGACTTTTTTGTTTTTTGGGTTTTTTTTTCCCCCATGATTACCTCTTAGTTTTTGTGTCTTTTTGAGAATATAAAGAAAAATATTTAGATTCTTAACCTGGAAATGAGATTAGGAAGGGAAACTGGATGATTTTGGCTAACCTGAATGTGTTCAATGCAAACCTGCTAGGCAGGGTAAAAGTTTTTCTAGTTAAATGTCTTAGCATCAACACCCCCAAAATACTGTCTCAATTTCCTTCAAGTAGACTTATTCACAGGTCATTTTCATGTGCTCTCTGGTGGAGCAGCCACACAGCCTTAGAAACATGCCCCTGGCACTTTGATTTTTAATTTAAACATTTGGACACAGTTTTCCCTGGATTTGGAGCAGTAACACCCCAACTCAGGATGACCACGAGAGAATGGTGGCCTGATAAGGAAAACACCTCAGTGCTACAAATGAAAGCTATTGCACGACCAAGCGCGGTGGCTCACATCTGTGATCCCAGCACTTTGGGAGGCCGAGGCAGGCAGATCATTTGAGGTCAGGAGTTCAAGACCAGCCTGACCAACATGGTGAAACCCCATCTCAACTAAAAATACAAAAAAATTACCCTCGCATACATCTGTAGTCCCAGCTACTCAGGAGACTGAGGCAGGAGAATTGCTTGAACCCGAGAGTCAGAGGTTGCAGTGAGCTGAGATCGCGCCACTGCACTCCAGCCTGGGCGACAGAGTAAGACTCTATCTCAAAAAAGAAAAAAAAAGCCACTGCATATTTACACATGGTCCGTCCTCTCCAATTGAATAATTCTGTTCTTATTTACTCTGCCTTTGAGACAAAAGATGAAAAGCAAGTGCCTAATAACAGGAGCTTCATCATGCTTGTTGAAAGATTGAAGGAAATGGATTTCAGCTGTGGACAGTTTTTTTGTTTGTTTTAAAATGTGTAACAAAAGCACTAATGTCATTTTTCATTCCTGATTTCTTAATTATCTTTCTCTATAAAGCTGACATGTGACATGTCTGCATTTTTATTTTAGGAATCTTTCAAAGAAGTATCAACCTAAAAAGAACTCGAAGGAGGAAGAAGAATACAAGTATGTTTACCACTAAAAATTGTCTGGTAATGCTCACATGCCATTGATGCTGACACACAGAAAGGAGAAATATATGTCTATCAAAATAAGTTGCATTTCCCATTAGTTTTGTGTCAGTTTTTAAATTGGTGGAGAAAACAATAAAAACATAATTAACTTTTCCTGTATGGAGTCACTGGAGCTGTGTCAGATTGTTTCAATTAAAGTAATTAGGAAAACTTTAGAATGTAATTAAGCAAAAACAGGAAGTACGGAATCTGCATTCTGGAGTCTTGATTTGGTTTGGCACTATCAGGAGTACCTGTCATGCTAGTCATTCATCCAAGAAGTATGTCCATTTCAGTCAGCAATTAAGGCATCTTAACACTAGACAGCTCAAGTATTATATCTCTGATGTAGATCTAAATACCCTTTACATTAGTACATATAGCGTGTATATGAATTTTGGATTATATCTGGGCTAAGTATAAACGAAGCCAAATATGACATTACACGGAGCGCTTCAGTTTTGCAAAATGAAAAGTGTTTCAATTGTAATTAATTCTGACCCATTTTGATGAGAACACTGGATGTGTAATGAATACTCAGGATCCTATGGGAGGTGGATGCCAATTAACCTCGTTTTAATTAATATTTCCTTGGTGTAAAGCAGAATGAGAATGAATGTGGCCTTGTATGAAAAGCTGTGGTGTGTGTTCCGTTCCATAGGTATACGTCATGTAAAGCTTTCATTTCCACCCTGAATGAAATGAATGATTATGCTGGGCAGCATGAGGTTATCTCCGAGAACATGGCGTCACAGATCATTGTGGACTTGGCACGCTACGTTCAGGAACTGAAACAGGAGAGGAAATCGGTGAGCAAAACTTTATTCTTTTTCTTCCTACAAGTTGGACCAAACACAGTGGGAATATCCCTAGAAGATTAAAATTAAATAAAACCATATAAGACGGTGGGTCTTAAACTTCACACCTTTGAGAATCATATAAAAGTTATGGATCCCGGCCAGGCATGGTGGCTCATGCCCGTAATCCCAGCACTTTGGGAGATTGAGGGCGGATCACGAGGTCAGGAGTTCGAGACCAGCCTGACCAACATGGTGAAACCCTGACTCTACTGAAAATACAGAAATTAGCTGGGTGTGGTGGCAGGTGCCTATAACCCCAGCTACTGGGGAGGCTGAGGCAGGACAATCACTTGAACCTGGGAGGCGGAGGTTGCAATGAGTTGAGATGGCGCCATTGGACTCCAGCCTGGGTGACAAGAGCAAAACTCTGTATCAAAAAAAAAAAAAAAAAAAATTAATGCTTATAAGTAGGTCAAAAAAAAATGGAAAGACGTCCCCAGTTAAATACCTTCCATTCCTTGGCTCCTTCATTGCTGTCTAATGAAGCAGATGTAACTGTTCCTCTTGCCACCATTACTGTCTTTTCATCAACAGGTCTTATTGTTAACCAAAGAGAAGAATGTTTGCTCAAAGTATATTCTTAGTTACAATTTTGCCTTAAGGGACTTATCTTTAAGCCACGGTCTGTATCCTTGTACTTCGATTACATGTGTAGTACAGAATAATTTGTTACTAGTGATAAAGTAACCACTTGGCCAGTGATAAACTTTTTTTTCTTTTTTTGAGACAGAGTCTGTCTCTGTTGCTCAGGCTGGAGTACAATGGCGCCATCTTGGCTCACTGCAACCTCCACCCCTCAGGTTCAAGTGATTTTCCTGCCTCAGCCTCCAAAGTAGCTGGGATTACAGGCATGCACCAGCACACCTGGCTAATTTTTGTATTTTTAGTAGAGTTCTAGTTGGCCAGGCTGGTCTCCAACTCCCGACCTGAGGTGATCCACCTGCTTTGGCCTCCCAAAGTGCTGGGATTACACACATGAGCCAACAAGATTGCTATGGCTTCTGCTGAAATGGAGGTGATATTCAATAATAATGACAAAGTGATTATTTAATTGCAATTATGGTAGTTGCCACAAAGTAAGAGTACAATGTGCTAAGAGAACATACCATAGGATTCCTGACGTGCTCATGCTCTGGGGTCAGGAAAGGGCTTCACGGTTAAGGCTACTTAACAAGACTTGAGGGGTGAGTAGGACTTGCCTGGGACAAGCATTCAATAGAGAGCAGCCAGGGCCCTGGGGCAGGAAGGCGTTTGAAAACATCTCAATTCAATTCTTTCTAAACTAGAAATGTGTAGCATCTGGCCTTGGATAGGTCTAAAAGTCGGGAAGAGATAAATGCCTTAAGATCAACCCATTGGTTTAAAACAACACTGTGCCGATAAACCGAGATAAATTTTCATCTGTTCACATTAGTGCAGTGGCTCTCAACTAGGGACAGTTTGGCTCCCTACTCCAGCAACACCTGTCAACATCCAGAGTTTGGTTGTCTCAGGGATTGCAGCTCAGGCACCGCTACTGGTATCTAGAGAAGAGAGGCCAGGGAGGCAGCTAAACATCCTGCAATGAATGCCCAGGAGAGCTCCACAACAGAGTGGCCTGGCCCGAAATGTCTCCAGTGCTGAGCGTGAGAAACCCTGCACTGGAGCCCTAAATGAGATGACAACCTCTGCTAGACCATTCATTAATGATTTATTTAGTGACAGAAGGATGCAGTGAAACAATACCAAGGTTCAGAATGAAGCACAAATATCTAATATAATGATAAAATGAATACAGTCAATCTTAACATGATCTTGGACTGCTTCTCCGGACCCTGAACTTCCCTTGACCTTGCAAAGGTTTATATTTTCTTCCTGTTCGGTTTCTTTTGTCAGTGCCTTGTGTCTCTCTCTCTCTTTTTTTTTTTTTTAGAGGGAGTTTCACTGTGTTGCCCAGGCTGGAGTGAATCTCGGCTCACTGCAACCTCTGCCTCTCGGGTTCAAGTGATTCTCCTGCCTCAGCCTCCCGAGTAGCAGGGATTACAGGCACACGCCACCACACCCAGCTAATTTTTTATATTTTTGGTAGAGACGGGGTTTCACCATGTTGACCAGGCTGGTCTCACACTCCTGACCTCAAATGATCCACCTGCGTCGGCCTCCCAAAGTGCTGGGATTATAAGCGTGAGCCACTGCAACCCCTCATATTCCTTTGCTGCGTTATGACCAAGTTTTTAATGTTTTATTTACTCAGTGTTAATCATGACTTTTTTATAGTCAGTCATATCTGTATTTTGGATTTAGTTCCTTTTGTTAATCCAAAATGATAGTAATTTATGGAATAAATTATAGGAGGTACAGATCCACATTAAATGTCTTGCAATACATAGTGTTCCTTTTATTTTCAGGAGAACTGTGAGTACAGGTTTCTCAGTCAGACATTCTGTTGGGAGGAGCTGTAAACATCATGCTCTCCTGAAACGTTCTGTAATTAAATCAAAACAACATTTTAGAAAATCATGAAACCTTTTGAAATACTAGAAAGAATATCAGTAAACTAATGTGTGTTATTTGTGTTATCTTATTTTATTTTTTGAGACGGAGTCTCACTCTGTTGCCCGGGCTGGAGTGCAGTCGTGCAAACTCAGCTTACTGCAGCCTCTGCCTCCTGGGTTTCAGCGATTCTCCTGCCTCAGCCTCCTGAGTAGCTGGGATTACGAGCACCCCGACATGCCCAGCTAATTTTTGTATTTTTAATAGAGCTGGGGTTTCAGCATGTTGGTCATGCGGGTCTCGAACTCCTGAGCTCAGGTGATCTGCCCACCTTGACCTCGCAAAGTGCTGGGATTACAGCTGTGAGCCACCGAACCTGGCCTGTTTGTGCTATTTTAATATAACGCCTCATGGGCATTTTTTCTTTTTCGTTTTTTCTTTCTTTCTTTTTCTTTTTTTTTTTTTTTTTTTTT